CCGTTTTACGACATTTGCAAAAAATTTTTAAATATTAATTCAAAAAGATTAGTGCATGATCACGCGCGATATGGTAAATGATCTGTAGTGGCGCCGTCTGCCGTTTGTATACTTATACATTAGGTCAAACTAAATAAGAAAGTCCTCTCTATCATTTTGCAAATAACCATATAGATTTTTAGATATTAATTAAAGAAGATTTGTGCATTATCGTGCACAATCATGTAACAATTTTATTTCATTAATAACTAAAATTCATAGTTATTTGCAAAATAATAAAGAGCTTTTTGTTTAATTTGACTTAATGCACAAGCACACAATAATACACATCTACAGCTCATTTACTATATCGCGCGTGATTATTCACTAATGTGATCTTCTTTAATTAATATTTTGAGTATTATTGCGAATATCGCAAAATGATACGAGACTTTTATATTTATCTCAATTTGTTTTACATTTTCATAAAAATTTCGAAAAAAAGTCTAGGACATCCTGCATAAATATCAAAGTCATGAACCTCATAATTTGGGAGAAAATGGTCTAAAAAGAATTTTAAAATCATATAGTGCTTCTGGTAGTCTATATAAGCATTTTATTAGAATATTGTTAAGTTTTTCTGCAGTTTGCCATTTCTGCAGTCTGCTCGTGCAACAAATGTTGATATTCATATAATGTTGGTAATAAGTCAGCTACAGACATACATTAAGGATGATTTTTATTAAGCTTTAATTTAATCATGGATTAATTTCGTTGTGACCAGCAAATATCTATTGGTCAATTTTGTTAGTTACAAAAGGATTAATCGACAATTTACAAAAGTTAATCAAAGCTTGGTATATAAAATCCTCCTTAAATTAATAAATATTATTAGCATTTATAAATATTATTAACATTTAATTAAATTATTACATTCAATGCATTATTTTATTAATGAAAGCCTTCAACTTTCATTTCTTGCAACATTCCCTATACGTTTTCGTAAGGGTGTTAACGATACCATTTATTTCGATAGAGTATTTTTTGGACTATTTTTTTTCCAAATGGTGAGATGCGTATCACTTTGATATTTATATATCTTTAACCTACTCATAAATAGCTATAATTTTATAAAAAAAAAAAAAAAAAGATCGAAAATAAGTCGAATCTTTTACTTGAAAAGTAAAGTACAGCCGAGCCATTAGAATTCGAGTTATTTTTACTTCTACAGAGTAAATGATTTTACTCTTGTAGAGTGAATTCTCCACTCTGTGTGAATCGTTGAGTGAGAGAATATTTTCACTCGGAATTGAAGAGTGAATCTGATGCATTCTACCGCCAGAAGAACATATTCACTTCAATCGATTGAAATATCCGCTCGTACGGAATCAGAATCCATTTTAATCTTGAGTGAAATATTCGCTCTTGTGATGTCGAATAGCAGCATTTTCTCTGTCACCACGAATGAAAATGTTGCCATTTTTCACTCCAGGAGATTTAGAGAATAATAATAGCAACATACATATAAGATTACTATCAACATTATAGCACTACTACAACATTATAGTAAAATTTAATAAAAAAGTATCTCTACCATAATTTATAGTAATTATTTCTCTGTGTAATTATAATTATGAATACCAAACATTTTTTACTAAAGTTTCTCTTTCATTCTCATTCATGTCTAAATATGGCGGACAGGATACCAATCAGGAATAATCGTTCTTTGTCCTAACTCTGATTGGAGGAACTCTGCGCACTCCTCGCGGCTATCAATAAGTAATAAACGGTCTTATCGACTGTATGCTCCCTCCCGCGCATCGCTTTGCGGCTGTTTCTTCGTCGTACGACGACACTTCGTCATTCGCGGTTAGGGTAATTGCTCTCGGCCGTGCTTCTGCTCCTTCTCCTTCTCCTGGTCGGAATTGACCATTATCCCACTCGCCATAAATCCGAAAGGTGCCGGGAAGGCGCGCGAAGGAATCTATCGCAAAGTGGTCAACGTAATCTCTGTTATCTTAAGCAGACCCTTAGGTTATAGCTCCTTGCTGCTTGCAGAGTCCGCTTCGGACTCGGCTCTCATTCTCCTTGACGTTGACGGAGTATTGTTACCACGAGCAAGATTTCCTCCGGGTCCACTTTCTGCAAGAGCACGAGGAGGGAGATACGGCAAAAAAGGACGAGATTGTAATGAAATGTCAACTCGGTGTTTATCTTCCGCGGACATTGTTTGAAAGCTCGCGTATTCGATCAACCGTGCGATACGAAAGCGACGTGAAGTATGGCTTCCGGTCTTCTCTCCGCGTCGCGTCTCCGTCGAGAGTGCATTCCGCGTTTCTCTGCGTGTCGAGCGTCTCCCGCGTACTTCGTGAGCGCGTTTCGTATGAGTCTCGCCAAATTCGGAAGATAAATGCTAACCGTGACACCTTCCTCGCGCTGTTTTGTCATAATTGAATGATTAATTGCAGCCTCGTCCTTCTGCGCCACCAAAAGAGAATATTCATCAATGTCTCTCATATCTATAATTACAGTTCCCGGTTCAATGATAATGTTAGTGTCGCTAATGGGCTTCGTTTCGATGCATCTTCGAGCTATCTGTCAAACGCATCGAAGGACAATGTATCGCTAAATGCGATATTAACAACTTGCTCGATAATGATTAGTTTAACGCTTTTCGCGCCACGTTATCACGGATTATCTTAAATGCCCATATCAAGTCGTTAAAACACGCAAGTTTTGCGACGTTTCAATTTATCGTATCGTAACGAGATTCATCCGGGATAACCGTTCTGCGGCGAAGACGAATTCGGGATGCGACAGATAAATTCGTTTAATAAGATGTCGGAAAATTATTCGTCGGCTTACGAGGCGGAATCCCAACATGTTCCCTCAGAAAGAACCTTATGCCGGAAATCTGCTGATTTCTCATCATCCCCGCCACGCGGGTTTTCGTCTCTCTCTCTCTCTCTCTCTCTTTCTCTCTCTCTCACTGTTTCTTTCTATCTCTGTCTGTCTGTCTCTCTCTCTTCCCCCCCTCTCTCTCTCTCTCTCTCTCTCTCTCTCTCACACACACACAGATCGTACGCCCGCGTTTTCGCGGAATTAATTCGTTAAGAGAAGGCTGGGGTTCGCCGCTTTGCCATGATAGACGGGGTTCGTAAATTTTAGAGGTACACCTGGTACTCTAACCCACTAGGGCGGAAGGAAGGAAGGAAGGAAGGAAGGAAGGAAGGAAGGAAGCGGTGGGACGAGAAGGGAAGGAAGGGAGATGAGTACGACAAGAGTAAATCCAGCTTCCTGTAGCAGGTCGGTTTTGCTGGCTGCAGTTGATCTTTGAAAATCTTGGTTGTTCACTCGCGCCGCGGCCTGTCGATAACTCGGACAATCTTAACCTCGCCCAGTTCACCACCAGCCGCTTTCTCTTTTACACTTTTACCTACTCGCGCGTCTTGTCCGTCATCTCGTTTGCCGCGAAGGAGATCTTCGGGTTGGTTTCTTCACACATCTTCCGGATCAGCCTTCTCGTTTTACACCGCTAAATCCAATATCAGACTATCGCTTCGTATTTTCCAGCAGAATCCGGGCGTAGCACAGTGTTGCCCGTTTTCATTGACAAAAATCGGTATTTGAAATCTATCCAAGATATTCAAGTTTACATACATATGTATATTATATATGGAAAACAATGTTTTCCTTATAGTCATTAGCTAAATTTGAAACAATTAAGACAGTAAAGAGGAAGGGGGTATAACAATTGTAGAGAAAGTGATGTGTGTACTATTTACTTTTATTATTAATATTAATAATATACAGTATTATTATATATGATTGATACTTACGTTACTTATATTACTTAAAACAAAAACTATACTAAAATGAATTTATTAAATAATAATAACTATATTAAAATAAAAACAACATAAATAAGTAAAATATTAAAAAAAACAACAAATTATTAATAAATTATTAATAAATAGGTAAAATAAAAAAACAGAAAATTATTGATAAGGAACGGTCAATAAAACAATTTTAATGGTAATTACATTTCTGTTTAAAAAATGTTTTGCCCAATTTTTGATGGGTTTGACTAGACACGCTAACGTCAGATACTTACATTTTAGCTGTAGTTTTTTTACTTTTAAATCGCTTAGACGCACACTTGTGTAGAAAATCTATTTTTTTCATGTAAATAATGCTTCGAACTTACAGTGCATACTAACATTAACACAGTGCGCCTATCTCATAGGCCCAGAGGGGAGGACTACGTCTTAGATCTGCGTGATAAGCCCGCGAGGAATCGGTCATTTCTTCGCCGGCCACGTGGCGCTCTGATTAGTTTATTTATTTTATTTAATAACTCGAAGTTTTACGTGGTTGTTCGAAAAATGACTTCGACCATATGTTTCACTTTTATCTGTTCTACTTATATTTTTCTTTTGGGACGTCTTATATGGGACACCCTGTATATTTTTAAACTATGAATTCAACACTCTCTAGTATTAATTTATTGTAAAGAATATGTCTTCAATATAGGTAATATTTTACTCATGCGACAGTTTACTTGATTTGCTCCAATTTCTGATCAGGTCGGTACTTGATAAAAAAATTTGTATTATTTATGCGTTTTATCATATTTCAGACAATATATTTTTGGTTTGCTTTGGTTGCTTTGAAAGAAACTTTCTATATTACATTTCATAAAATGGCTTTTTCCATGGAAACAGGCAATACTGTGCGTAGTATTCATCGTGCACTTACTCCTTATCCTTTCATATCTAAGATAAAAGCAACCACAACGAAATGTTGTTTTCCATAATCACAACAGTTAAGTGAATAAAATTCACAACTGTTATTATTAAGTGAATATAATCACAACTGTTAAGTGAATAAAGTTTCCTAAGCCGAGAGCTGAAGTGTATGCGCTTAAGTTCTTAGCTAGTACGTCTAATGTTGGTATTAGAGCGCGCTCTGTATCGACGCGATGTCATTATTACTATATTTTGCATTGTTTCATGTTGCAGGTGACTGGCATCGTGGGCAGAGCGGATGTTCTAGCGTGCATCTTCTTTTTGTTGTCCTTCCTCGCCTATCACGGGTGAGTACGGTTTAATCACTCAAACTCCTTGGACACGGGCCGGAGCCCGATCCTCTTTAGATGTAATTCGCGCTTTAATATTTCGCGTTGAATTTCTATCTACAAATCTTCTCATCCAGGGTACACAAGAACTGTAAATTTTCCAAGTTGCGGGAAAGAGAGTTCGGGGCTAACTTCGCCGGGGGAAAAAAACTCCGCGCTCACGCTACTTCGCGTATTATGTATTATCTAATGAGTTACGAACTGCACACATACACACATATACATACAGCATACACCGTAAATGTAGAACACCTTCCTGCAAACTGGGAAAACTTACCGGCTGCGCATACGTCAAGAGTGTCAAGCGACGCTTAAGGTCGCGACGACGCGACAGGCTGACGCCAAAATAGCGAGCCATTCGTTCTCATGAACATAGAGCTCGAAAATTATAAACTAAACTAATTTACCCCCCAACTACCGCTATAACTACTACGCGGAAGCGCCGCGAACGTGTCTCGTGTCGCTCGCATCGATCTTTACGGTTAGAACCGAGAAGGAACGCTCTCTTTATATATATTTATATAGATATATACACACACATACATACATATATATATATATATACATACATATATACACATACATACATACATACATACATACATATACATATATATATATATATATATATATATATATATATATATATATATATATATATATATATATATATATATATATAAAACACAATTCCAGAGTTGTGTTTTTCTTCACCGAAGACAGACGTTAGTTCCTTTTTCCTCGTAATTGTTCACTTTATACTTGCGTGCGGCTATACAACCCGGTCGCTATTTCTGGAATAAATTTAATTAATCGTGGGAAACTCTCGGGCACGGTGAAACAAATCCCATATACATAGCGTTCCGCGCGAGCACGAGTCTGGCACGACGAAAAATCTGTAAAGACGAACTCCGCCCGATTACCAGCGTAAAAAGCTTTCGCGGAGGTCGTGTGCTACGACATAAAAGGGCGGTTGTGGAAGACAAGAAAGTAAAACTCCGTCTGTAGGACTAGCGTTAGGCGGCCAATGGCTGGAAAAGGGAGGGGTAAGGTAAGATGCTTGTCTTCGAACCTGGGAAATTGATTACTCTTGGCTACCTTTGAGTACTCCCCTTCTTCTTCGTTTCCCTTTACCCTTACTTCATCGCCTCGCTCTATGCTTTTCTTCTTCCGACTCAGCCTCTTCCTCTTGTTCCTTCTCTTCCTCTTGTTTTTTTCTCTCTTTTATTTCATCTAACCGGTGTCCTTTCAACTCCTCCTCCCCCTCCATCCCCTTTCTTCTGCCGGTTGGCTTCGTTCGCTCCGCGATCGTTTACGCCTCGCGTTTAAATCCCTCGGCGATTAAGCGGCCGATGATTAATTCCAATTATACATTTGGCTTACCGTCAAGACTCTCGTCGTTCTCTCGACTCTCGACCGCTTTACTTCTCCACGGTGGGTTGAGTGTATCCTCGTTCACTCTCCGCCGTTGTTGCGGCGAGTTACTATTAATCTTACTTAGTAAGCTTTGATGTAAATTGTATGAAACACTTCCATTTTGCCGCGGCCCCCTGTCTCCTCTGCCGTTTTTACGGGCAAGTCGTGGAGAAGCTGCGCTCTTGTCTCGGTGGACCGGTTTCGCACCGGTCCCTGTTGTATCTAAAATCCCGAATGACATCTTGTAACGGATCTGTCACGTAGATTGATGTGTACGTGAATCGACGTAAACGAATAAATTCTGCGTGTCTTTGGATCGATGTTGCTGGTGGGGATTGTTTCTCGATACCAATGCTGCCATTCGATCGGCGAAAAGGAGGATATCGGAGGGAATTTCTTGAAATATATCTTTGTGTGAATAAATACAATTTAATCCTCAAACCGGACTATTTCTGTCAACGTAAACCAGACTATTACGGATCTTTTACGTCCGTGCTGTAGACGGAGCAAGAAAATAAGGTAATTAAAAATAAGTCTATACACGGCAATAATATAGAGAAATAAAGTAAGGCGCAATCAGTCAAGTTAGCGGGTTAATAAAACTTAAAAAACTCTTAAAAGCGACGTGTCAGGTTTCGCCCTTGTTTATATCTGTCTCGCAGCTATGACTTGCACGCGTCTAATTTCTTCGTTCTGGTTCGGACGAAGTTTTGCAGAACTTCGTGTTTTCTACCATCTGCCGACTTCGGACTTCAATATCGCTAAACAGTGCTTTATTAAACAATATTAATGTTATATCATCTCTGAAGATTTTGAAGAAATTCACAGAAGTTTATTGAAATGTTAATTAAATGTCTAAA